CGTTCAACTCGGCTCATTGTCTGACAACCCTAGAGAGTTAGGACCCTTGCGTAGTCTGTGTTTTTTTTTCTTGCCCGTCTTCTTGTCGTTTTGTTTTCTTATCGAGTTCGTGTTTGGGTCGAACAATGGATCGTCCGCTGGCGTTCGATGTTGGGGGAGGAGGTTCTCGTAGAACCTATAGACCAGGCCCGCCGGCTGAACGGTTGCCGACGGACCCGACACTCTTCAGCAGCGCGCATGCAGGCATATCAGGTCGCCGCCCGAGGGTCAGGACTCCCGTCTATGACCCGGAGGACCTGCGGCGACTTGGGTACGACCCCCGTACTCTGTCTAACTCTCCCCCACCTCCGCGGCGGCGTCGGTCCCCGTCGTGTAACCGCTGTTCCACGGCGGGGATGGAGGCTGTCCGGCATGCCTTAATGGTCCAAAAAGAGAGGAGTTGCCGAAATTCTTGGGAGATGACACGGATTTTTCGTTCGAAGATTGGCTAGAAGAGGTAGAGGGGGCCCTTCGTGCCTGGTGCGTCCCGCCAGGGCAGCAGGGTCACCTGATATGCCAGCATTTAACGGGGGAGGCCCTGGAAGAAGTAAAGGCGCTGCACTCGGAGGAGCGCGACGACATAAAACTTGTATTGGACACCCTGAAAAGAGCTTTCCGAGATACCGTGCCGGCCCACATTGTTATGGGCCGGTTTTACAGGTTTTCGCAGGCAGGGGGAGGACGAGAGCGTGCGCCCATACGCTCCCGACCTTCGCAGGCTGCTGAGACGGGCCCACCGGTAAGACCCCACCTGTTGCCCAAACCCTGGCAAGACCCTCAGGGACCAGTTTGTCGAGATCTTTTGATAGAAAGTCCAAATTGCAATTTCTATGATGTAAAAGATGAAGCCCTCGCTGTGGCCGAGGCAACCGACCGGACGAAGAGGGCGCCGGCACTTACATCCAACAAACAAACCTACCTAAGCTGAACAAGCCTCCACTGAGCCAGAAGCACAGTCCCCGAAGTCTGGGTTTCCAAGAGACTTGACAGCTTTTACAGTTAACCTACGTAACTAACACACCCTGAGTAAGCTGGATGTTGTGCCATTCCCAGTTACTATTTTGAAGAACAGATTGTGTTTTCTACGTGTTTCTGGCTGCTGAAATGTTTGTCCTGATGAAGACTTCAGGGATCACCAGTCCCATGTTCCTGGCTGACACGTCTGTCTTGTCACAATCCTCTCTGGGTTGACCTATACAAAAAAAGAATTATTTTACAAAAAAGGCTTGGACATGAAAATTACATCAAGATATGAAAGAAGTCTTCTATAATATTTTACCACGTGCATAGTACCTAGTAGCAAGATGTACACATACTACATTGCAGTACAATGCATTCTGACAGTGACAGAACTCCAGTAGAAGCTTGCATCTAAAAACCTCCAGACAGGGATGCAGCTGTCCTACTGGCCCCTTGTGGTCTACCTAATATATTTAACAATCTCATTAAAACGACGACTTTATTCCATATAGTTATCTGTGCACCTTAGCGGCCAAGCTGTACTCTCCAAGCAGAGGTTGTGGGGAATGATCGTTACCTTTTTATATATGGCCGTTTTTTTTTTGTCTTGATCCCCACCACAAACTGGCGTGTACAGGCACTAAAATATTCCCCAGATACATCACAGCCACAATGTCCAGTACAGAAAGCAACAAAGACTACATTGCAAAAGAATTTCGGCTTTTATTTGCAGTACTTGCGTTTAACGTTACCACGCTACGAAATATTCCTTGATTTGAACGCCGAAAATGACTCTTACGAAAAGGACGGCCCTCGCCAGTAACAACTACAAACCTAAACACACTCTGAAACAGCTATTGTGCACGACAACTGCATGTTTTTGAGAGAAATCATCACAGAAGCAAACGTAAAATACATGTAAAATCCTACGCAACAAAAATCTCGATTTCTCACAAAGGACTACGGGTTGAACGCCTTGAGTGACCGTAACTAACAGGACGGTTCCTCACCAGTAACATCTACAAACCCAAATACACTGCGAAACAGCTTTTGAATGCGACAAATTGCGGGTTCGTGAGGAAAAATACTCTAAGAAGAGAACACGGAACCTTACCTCACAAATGGCCGCCCTGAACTGACGCTGCAATCTGCAGACGATCGCAGGATCCCAATAATATCCTTCCGCTCCGCCACCTGGACGGTCGCATCAAAACAAATGAAAGCGCAAAAATATCGTCTGTCGCGCCAAAATTTTGAGTCCTCATACCAGTATAGGCTACCTGTCAAATCAACTACACATTTGCCATATTTCTTGCTACATGTGTCCTGTTTGCCTCGCACTACTTTATGGCGGCAAATGGATACATTCTGTCTGAAGGGAGATATACGGTGGAGCAAATCTTGAGGCTTGTTTGGGGTTTTATAGAACAGCGTTCCATACAACATTGTCGAGCACACCGTACATATTACACATCGACCATCCTCGAATATTTCCTGATACCAGTAAATATAGTGTTAACTGTCAAATCTACTTTGACATGTATGTATTTGTTATCCGTGCATGTCGGAGCGGATGGATGTTTGCCTCGCACTACTTTATGGCGGCAAATGTATACACCCTGTCTGGTGGGAGATATTCGGTGGAGCAGAAGCAATGCCCTGAGGCTTGTTTGGGGTTTTATAAAACATCCTTCTATACAACATTGTTACCTTCACCAAGAAGGTTATGTTTTCAGTAGCGTTTGTTTGTCTGTCTGTTTGTTTGTGAACAGCATAACTCAAGAAGCTTAATATGGATTGTCATGAAACTTGGTATGTGGGTAGGTCTTGATGAGACCTAGAAATGATTAGAAACTGGGCCTCCTGGCGGTTTTTGTTGGTACTGCAGCAGAACTTCCGGTTTTGTTATCTCGCGATCTAGACATGCTAGGGACACGAATTTTGGCTGGTAGATAGCTCTTGGGGTAGGGAAGATGTGACCTGAGTTAAGACCCCCTAGCAGCTTGTTCTGGAACTGCAGGAGCGTTTCTTGAAAAAATCTCCGAAGGTTGATAACTCAAGAACCGGTTGACGGATTGTCATGATTTTTGGTATGTAGGTAGCTGAAGTGATGCTTGACATAATCAGATGACAATTAGGCAAATCAGGAGCTAATTTGCATAATTGATGAGGAAATTCTATAAATCTGCTTCGTTTGATAATAGGACTATGAAACACTTATGACATGTAATTGAGAACTAGAAAACATCTAAGGATATAGCTTATGTAAATGAAGACCTAATTTGAATAATTAATGGGAAATTGTTATAATTTTATAGTTGTAATTGCTGGGCATTTCATACTTGCCGCATTTGGAAGTTAAGTGAAGGTGAACATCAATGAAGATAATTTATTCACATATGACCTCATTAGCGTAATTTATGAGGAAGTGCTAGAATAGCCTATTTAAATATTTAAGTATTTTGTTAAGATAAGGCTGCCATTGGGTGGAGAATATGATCAACTGATGTAATCTATGCAGATGACGCTCTTATTTGCGAAATCAATCATTAAAATTGAAAAATTCGTCAACCGCAAGGGTTAACATCATTTGGCGAAGGTATGAGATCGTTGAACTCTTGTTGAGCATATTATGGTCCGATTCTTGTGTCTGGATGTCTTCAGCCTATGCAACCTTCCAGAGCGTAATAGCTCCAAACGCGGCCACTCGAAAACATGCAAAGTGTGTTTTGTGTCATGGAAAGGTGAGGAAACAACAGAAGACACTGACACCGCACGAGCATGTACAA